TGTGTGTGTGTGTGTGTGTGTGTGTGTGTGTGTGTGAGAGAGAGAGAGAGAGAGAGAGAGAGAGAGAGAGAGAGAGAGAGAGAGAGAGAGAGAGTCTTCAGCTCTGGTCAGCTGGGTCTGATCATGAGGGCATTCCTTTAAATAATGTGCCTTTGTTTTGTCTGACGGCATTGTGATGCCTTGGATGATACCATGGTCAATATATGGGTGTCTTAGACCAGTCTGTGTGAATGTTTCTGTTTTCTGCTTGTGCAGAGCTCATTTCTCCACAGGACCTTGTTCAAGCCTGCCAAATCTGGGAGAACATTGATGTGTACGTGCGCTGTTTGACACGCTCCAGCTTGTCTGTTCCCTCTGTCATGGTTGATGGAACAGGGTGGAAATTTCACCCATATTTTCTTCTAGCTACTATCTTCCTTTAATATTATTGATGCTTGTTCCCGGCATTGCTCTCAGCTTGTTCTATTGCTTCCATTGAATAATGCTACGTCATAAGGCCGTCTGCCATTATGCAAAGGTGGCGAATTCATGGTTTTTTTTTGTTTCGAACTTCAGTCTCCTTGTGCATAGTAAATCGGAGTGGGTGGGTTGGGAAGGCAGAGGTTGTGGGGTAGGTGAGGTCCGTTTGAATAAATCTGTTATGATCCTGGCCAATTCCAAAGTGTAAATATACAAGGAACTTGAAGGAAGTACAATGCTGTCCAGTTGCAAAAAGAAATGAATGAACTTGAGAGGAGAGAGAGACCAAAGAAAAAGAAGAAGAAGAACATGTACACCAGCAAAGGACCAATGAGAATTCCCTCTTCTCTTGCCAACCAACTCCTCCTCCTTATCTCCCCCTCTCTTATGCAAACAATAAATAATAATTATAACGATGAATGGCTGAACCAGAATCAATGTCTGAATCCCTCTTCTACTGCTAGCACAACCAGAGGTCCACCATAGCCATAGCCTCCCTCTTCTCTCTCTTCGAACAGTGACGCATGCCCAATGGGACAGTGCGTAGGGAGCCAAGGATCCGTAATGTGATGAAAAGGACTGAAATGGACAATGCAAGGTCAGCGTAGCATCAACAAGCAATGTACATTCCGATACATACAAGATGGCTGCTGGCACAAAGTGGCGCAGTGGAAGACTTAAAGAGAAGACCTGATCTGATCTGGACTGACCCGACATCCATCATACATCACACATGTGAGAAGGGAGGAGGGACCGCAATCACAGAAGAAAGGTCCCTCCTTCACACGCATACATGGGGAGATACCACGGATGAGAGATGGGGGAAAGGGACGAGACAAAGGAGAAGGAGGCGAGGGAGTAGACCAAGATCGCGATAGCGAAGTCCCAAAAATAGTCCCTTGCCGAGTGTCCAATCAATGTCTGTCCGAGAAATGTCGAATCAGATCCTGGGCAATGTGCCCTGCATAACCTCTGCCTGTATCACCTACCAATAACGTCTCTCACTCTCGGATGTGAAGAAGAAGATAAGGAGGAGGAAGGAGGAAGAAGAAGGAGGGAGAGAGAGAGAGATGGAGGAGGAAGAAGAAGAAGATGACGTCCTCCTTGCTATCTCACCTGCAGGTAGCTGTCACCGTACTGACTGTGGTCGCCGTCGTGTGCAGGTACGATGTGGAGCCCGGCTATGGCACCAGGTAAGCTCACCGTTTGCAGGTAAGGCCTCTGCCCCTCTCTACCTCCTACGCCTCTACTCCCTACTCCGTAATGTGGCGCAGAATAACGCTGCCTCCAACCAGCAGCATGTCGCTCCAGAAGTGAGCTACTCGAACTCTGTGTTTGCCCAGCCGCTGCCCAGCTATTTGTAGCGCTGGGCGGGCTGGGCCTACCTGATGCTGGCCTCAGAAAAACTGCCCAGCTGGTCTGGGTCCCTACCGGACGTCCAGACCATGCTGCTGATGCAGCAAGGCGCAGAAATGCGCCTGGCCTAAAAAATGGCCCCGTACCTGTGCACCTAGCCCAAGGCGTCACCTTGGGACTTCCAGGGCCGAAATGACGTTTGCACCTACCGGTCTGGCGCCAAAATGCGCCTGGCCTCGTTTTGGGCCTGCCTCCGGTGTACCCAGTCCCCAGGTCCGACCTCGGGGCTGCAAGTCCGTTACGGCACCTGAACATACAAAGTAAGACAGCACACACACACAAAAAGGTAAGTAAAACTAAACCTATCTAACTAGTGTGCTACCTAGGGCCTGGAGGGCCGCCGTGGGCCTCCAGGGCGCGTGCTGTATGGTACGCGGCCTTGCAACTTGCGTTCGTAGCGTGCGAGGACATCGGGAGTTGTTGCTTGAAGTTCCGCACGGATCAACCATCGGTCAGCTCTATGGGTGCAATATGCAAAATGGACCAAGAATTCAGTCGGCCTGTTGCTGTAACGTCGCTGGGATATGATGTCGCCAACCTCTTGGAAACCGTCCATCGAGGGTGGGTCTTGTGATCGTCGCCCGGGAAAGTCGTCAAGTTCCGCTGGCGTGTAGAGAGCCAACTTGGAATAGTGAAAGACCAGGTTGACGGGCAAGTGGGCGGGCGCCTGAATGATAAATGAAGGTCCTTCGGGTGCGTCCCCAGCGGGTGCCACGATCGGCCAGGGCCCCATCCATTTCGGAAGGAGCTTGCGAGGGATATCTTGTTCGAGGCTGAATTCCGCAGCAGAAACCCATACGAGGTCGCCGACGCGGAACGGACAAGGAAGACTCTGGCGGTTGGCCTGTTGGCGCATACGTTGCTGCGTCTTTGACATCTGGTCTCGTGCCTTGACAAGAAGCTCTTGCATCCGATGAATGAAGAGAAGATGGTCGTCACTCTCGGCCGTCCGACGCTCACGGGGTACTGCTGGAACAGTCAATGAGATCCAAAGCAATGCTTGAGTCAATTAGCATGGTTTTAGAAGCAGATGATGGGCTAACCAGGGTTCAATAACATAAAGTACACCGCTTGCACTCGACACTTAGCACCGCTACAAAGTACATCGCGTGTACTCGACACTTAGCAACGATACAACAACTACGTGACCTTCCCCTCACCTCTGAACTGAGAAGGGGGAGCACGTATAAGGGAAAGAAGGTCCTCAATAGTGCAAGAACTTGGAACCATGTCTTTCCCTCTTCGAAGGGAGGAGAATCATTAGAAGTCATTGTGGATGGCATACATGACGATGGCGAAAGAAGAAAGAAGAAGCAACTCAGAAGGGAAGCGATTGCCATGGACATTACCCGACCGTTCCCCAAGCACAAGACGGGTGTGGATGGGATTCTCACGGTTGTCGACCGACTCACCAAGTTTGCCATGTTTTTGCCTTGCCGCTATCACGCCACGACACCGGAGTTGGCCGAGGTTCTCTACGCCAGTTGGATTCGAACCAAGGGTTACCCCAAGGAAATTGTCTGCGACTGCGACACTCGGTTCATGTCCGACTTTTGGTTGGCGCTCGTCAAATGATAGGGCTCATCCCTCAAGTCGAGCTCGGCTCGCCACCCCCAGACCGATGGCCAAACGGAGAGGGCACATCAGACCGCACAGGTCTTTCTTCGCACTCTCATCCGTCCCGACCAAAAGGATTGGGTCGAGCGGCTGCCGGATGTCGAGTTGGCATACAACTCGTCCATCTATCTGGCTATCGGGATGTCGTCCTTTGAGTTCCAGCATGGCTCGCCAGTCAATTCTCAGCCCGAACACCAATATGGGGTATTCTTCCCCGTTGGTTAGCGGGTGCTTCCACAATGTGGTATATGGATCCGCACAAGCGGGCCAAAGCCCTCCTCCGTGCAAGCACGGATTCGAACTGGCGACCTTGGCCTCAGGAGCCAAGTCTCTTAACCACTACAGCTAGGACACGGTAGGGTGAAATCCCGGGCACCGAGGTTGGGGCAGGGGTGGGGGTCAAATGGCGGGAGCGGGGGTCTGGGGGTCAAACCCCTACCCCTGCTTGGGCCCCGGGGATCCCTTGGTGACAACCCTGGCTCTTCCCACTTCGCTTCCCTCCTTCCTTCATCGCTCTTCTCCCCACATCGCCTCCCTCTTCCCACTTTGCATGTTCTAAGGTCTAAGGGTTTGGTTATGCCGTCCATTCTGTCAGCCTGGGAGGAAGTGGCAAACCTTTGTTCTTATAACACTACCTTTGCCGCTTCAGAAATGAGGAAAAACACCCGTTCCCAAAGAATTCGGAGGCCGGGCCCGTCGACGGCTGCCATTGATAAATCTAATCGGCGGTCGTCGTTCGTTTCGGCCTCCTGAGAGGTCGGAGGCCCGCTATTTTCCAAAATGACAAAGGTACTAGTGGCTTTAAGTGTGTTTATTCAGGGGAATATGAATCAGGTTGGGGAAGGGGTAAGTTGGCATGTGTTTGTTCCTGTCTGACGCTCTCGGCTACGGCCGAGTATGCACACGGCCGCGCGCTGGTGATCGGGGCGCGCGCGCCACCTGCGCAGGCCGACCTCTGGCTCCCCCACCCCAAAAAAAAATAAAATAAAATAAAATAGGGGGAGTCATATATTTGGTTTTCAGAGCTGTAAAAAAAAAAAAATGCCCCCCCCCAAATCGTGAATTTGAAATTGTGGGGGGGGGGGTATGTGCTGCGCACCCCTGATTTGGCAAAAAAAAATCAATTTTTTTTGGTGAGGAAGGAAAAGAAGAACAAAAAGACGAAGAAGATGAAGGGGGAAAAAAAACAGCAAGGAAGAAGATGAAGAAGAAGAAGAAGAAGAAAAGAAAAAAAACAGCAAAGAAGATGATGAAGAAGAAAAAGAAGGGAAAAAAAAAAAAACAGCCTAGAAGAAGAAGAAGAAGAAGAAAAGAAAAAATACCTTCTTTTCTTTTTAGGAGGACAACTCTATATCGGTCATCAGAAAAATGGGAATAAAAAAATTCTGCTTCTTTATTTATTTATTTATTTTTCTATTTAACCGACTTTTGTTTCTCATTTTTTTTTAAATTGTAAATCAAGTCAAATTCGGGAAAAACAATTATGGGGTTGTGGGGTTTTGCAAACCCTACAACCCCATATATGTTCCTGCTGTACATCCCTTACATGTACATTCCTTGTGTACAATCTGTTTTGTCTATTCGTTGTGTACAACTGTTTTGTACTCCTTTTTCTTCCGTGCACGATGTGATTGTGATGGCGTTCACCTCAAGGGCACGGGTGGTACCCCGTTCCCGTGCAGTGGGTATAGTTACGGCCCGCCTATGGTTGGCCACACCTGGGCAGCTGCCCTCATGCCCACTCACCTCTTGTTCCATGTTCTTTGAGATAATCCTTCTACGCTGGTTTATGCATGTGTCAACTGCTTGGTGACATCTTTT